CTGATGTTTTCTTATTTCAATTCATTTAGTCCTTAAAACAATTACAAAAGCTACTGACTCTTAGGATCTGCCTATAACAATGAAGAAACTGATACATCCAGCAGTCTGGTAACTAACATAGAACAAATAGCCGGTAAATGGGGGGTCTGGGGATGCAAACAGTTTGGGCCTTGTGTTTGTGCTCTTAAACACTGCGTTGTACTGTTTCCTGGAAATGGCTCCTATATAAATGTTTCTTTCCATCCTCTCAATTTATTTTGACACATTTACTTTCAAACTTAAAAAACAATAAATATTACCCCTAGATATATAGCAAATCAAGTTGGAGATAAAGAAACAAGAATGGGGCATCTGGATGGCTCAGTTAAGCATCTGACTTTGGCTTATATCATGATCTCAAGGTTTGTGGGTTTGAGCCCCACATGGGGCTCTGTGCTGACAGCTCAGAGCCTGGCGCCTGCTTCAGAGTCTATGTCTCCCTCTCTCTCTGCCCCTCCCCCTTTGGTGCTTTCTCTCTCCCTCTCTCCCTCTCCCTCCTCCCCTTCTCTCTCTCTCTCTCTCAAAAATAAACATTTAAAAAAAACATAAAACTATTTAAAATTCCACCACCTGTAGAAACTTGGGGTGAATCCTAAACATTTACTCATGCAAAATGTTATTCCAGCCCCCAAAATAAGAAGATTTTCTCTATAAATGTTTCCTTAACTTACTGAAATCTTTTCACCCCACTTAATGTAGATTTAATGTTCATTTTTAAGCCTGCCGTGTATGAATATACCCACTTATTTAATCACTCTGTTATTCTTAAACAATATGTTTCCAATTAGCTTACATTATTCAAAATGCTCATAAGCAAAATAACATTACAAATACATTTTGTTCATTTCTCTATTTCCTTTCAAAACAATTCCAACAGGATTACTGAGGTGTGTTTTTGGTTTTTTGTTTTGTTTTGTTTTTTTACTTTTATGACTCAACTGCCTCCTAGAGTGACTGTACCACTTCATATCTCCCATGAGCTGAGAATGAGAAGCACTGCTTCCCCGAACCTACAGCAGCAACAGGTTTATCCATTCTGTTGAGAAATAAATACAAAACTGGAATCTACTTTCTGACCTTGGAGTAAATACAGAAAGACCTCTTCACCTGAAGTTTTCAAATTAATTCATACCTATTTTCTTAAAATTCTATAATTTTACTTGTACATTTAATCCTTCTAATCATCCAGAATTTCCATTGCTATAAAATGTACAATAAGATACTTTCTCTGCCCTTCTCCTGCGGCACTCTCTCTCTCAAAAAAAAAAATAAACATTAAAAAAATTGTTAAATGTGTAACAAGATACTTACAACTTTATGTTTGCAATGTTGAGCTACATGTTTAACTATTGAATATTCTGAATTTATCTATTTTTATTTTAATTCCAGTGTAGTTAACATATAGTGTTATAGTAAGTTGAATAACTCTTCATCACCTACATAATTGTGATGCCTTTTTTATCATATGTCAAATTCCCTTATTTGTATCACTTTCTTAACTGTGTTTTATTTATCTGTTGACCTTTAGCCAAGTTAATCACTGTTTAATTAGTACAGATTTAGGACATATTCTAATATCTTTTATAGAAAGCATTCTCATTTCATCCTCAATTCCCATTTCATTTCCTTTGGAAAGTTTCCTGAGTTTTGAAACGGAGTTTGGATCACTTTGTAATGTTCCAAAAGATTTCCACTGGACTTCGAATGAGCGCTGCAGTTAGTGCACAAATTGGTCAGTGAGAATTGATATTTTTATTACTTTTCATCTTTCTTTCCCTCCATTTGCATGGTTTCATTTCCCTTATCATACAGTTTTCAAATATTTCAGAAAATTTTTTTTTCAGTAGAATGCATACACTACACATTTTGTTCACTTATAATTGAAGTTGCTCTATTTAACAGGTTATTTTTGACATTATATTTATTAAAATGATCTTATTAGGGGCACCTGGATGGCTCAGTTGGTTAAGCATCCAACTTCACTCAGGTCATGATCTCACAGTTTGAGTTTTAGCCCCGAGTTGGGCTCTGTGCTGACAGCCCGGAGCCTGGAGCTTGCTTCACATTCTGTGTCTCCCTTTCTCTCTGCCCCTTACCCACTCATGCTCTGTCTCTCTCTCTTTCAAAAATAAATAAGTATTTAAAAATTTAAAAAATAAAATGATCTTACTAAATTTAATATTTCTTAATATTTGTCTTAAGTTTTTGAGGTCGACAACTGTGTGATTTGTTAATTAATATATTTTGCAACAGTCCCTTCAGTAGTATTACTTGATTTAATCTTCTTGTCCATAGCATATGATTGAAACAGTGCTGCAGGCTTCCATCTTTATGTTATTGATTTTGATATTTCACCTATAACCAGATTTTGACTGCTGGTTTAAAAATTCTATTAAAACAATCATATTAAAAATATTTCTTAATATTTCCTATTTTACTAAGAGATGTTATCAAGAATCAATTTTGAGGGGCACCTGGGTGGCTCAGTGGGTTAAGTGTCTGACTTTGGCTCAGGTCAGGACCTCACAGTTTGTGAGTTCGAGCCCCATATCTGGCTCTCTGCTGACAGCTCAGAGGCTGGAGCCTCCTTCAGATTCTGTGTCTCCCTCTCTCTATGCCCTTCCCCTGTTAGTGCTCACTCGCTCTCTCAAAAATAATAAACATTAAAATAAATTAAAAAAAAAAGAATCAGTTTTAAAACTTATCCAGTGACTGTTTAGTACATTCATTCCCTAAAATTTTCATGGAAACAGCTTCTGAAACCAAATATTACTCATCTCTTCTCAGCATATTATGTGATGTGCTGTGAGATTTCAAGAATTTTCTCTTGATAAACCTACCAGAGGCTTTAAGTAGGAAAGTCACATGATCAAACTTGACTTTTGACAGACATATCTCAATTCAGACTATAGAATCAACTGGACTTGAGGAAGAATGGGGCAGAGAGATATTTTCAACTGTCAAGATGATAAAATACATAGACCAAAGGCAAAAAAAAAAAAATAATAACGATAGAATGAAGAGAAATGAAGAAATATTCACCAATAAAAATTGTGCAACTAGAGGTGGAAAGGGAAATACAAACAAGAGTGCCACACAGGTGTTTGTATTGGGCATCTGGGAAAATGGTAATGATATTTATTAAAACAATGCTGTGGCATATGAGTTCAGTTTTGGCTTGATAACTTGAAGGTGGAAGTCAGACTTCCATTTGTGTGTATCGTATACAGCTATGAATATATTGCTCTGGAGTGTAGTGATAAACCTACAGATAGAAAAGTGAACATGTAGGTACTAAAAAGCAGAAGGAGGGAGATCATTCATGGCTTTGGTTAAGTGACTATTCATGCATTTGGGGTTCCAGGTCCTTTCTAACTTTTTACTCTTACTTTTAGCACGTGAGCTTTCGAATGTCAGGGTTACTTCACTTTTAGCCATAACATTAGCATCAAATTCAGGAAAATATGGATCAGGAAAATCCGTTTGCACATGAAGATTTGTCCTTTTTATTTGGGAAAGAAAACTCTCCACAGATGACATTGATTTTCAATTCAATGAACCATTCTGGGCTGCACAATCCATCTTAACATCTCAAGGAAAATGAGATTATAGTAACTGGTTTAGAAAAATCATATAACAAACTTTCAAGTGGGATAGGCCTACACCCTCCTAATTTGAATGATTTTAGCTCACTACCTGAACAAATGGAATTTCTATTGGCAAAAAGTTGGAAGGGAAATGACTTTAAAGAAGACAAGAAGCCAAGATCAGAAGGAGTTGCAGAAACGAGGAAGGGCATGATAAACAGTATCAAATCCTGCGGTAAGATCAAGGTAAATAATGATTGAAAAGAAAGTGTTATGTGACATATCCAGGATCCAAAGCTTCTTCCTAACAAGGAAGAGACCTGTGGACACTAATTTTAGCTTATGAATGAAAATAAGTTTGGACCAGCTTGCCAATGAAGAGTTGGAGAGGAAAAAAATTAGAAAAGAACACAAGATACAAAGATTTGACTTTTTCAAAAGAGAGTTCACTATGCTAATAAGTCATAACGCTTAATGTTCTCTTAGTTACAGGTCAAGGAAAATTTAAAGAGGAAGAAAATTAATTGATGGGTCTTGCATAAGACCCAGGATATAATTGAAGGGGCCGTCCTTGAATGTCATACTGCCATGGTTTAGATCAGGAATTCTGGTATCCTGCGAGCATATATACAAATTCTGGCTCTGACAATTAATCCTTCTGGGACTCAGTTTCTACACTAGTAAAATGAATCTAAAAAAACAGTGATTATATTATAGAATTTTATAAAGTTACAATGATGTACTGAGTACAGTGGCTTGCATGGTGGAATCCCTTAATATGTTTTATCTGTTAATATTATCTTTGCTTAACAAACATTTCCTTACTTACTGACGGTATTTTTTCTCTCATACCCAATATTTTATTTGATATAGAGGTCCATGCATGCACCATGAAAATAATGTGTCTTGAACAAAGCATTTCAATTTGGACACCTGACTTGCATGATAAATTGTACAAAAAAAACCCCACAGATGAGGTGAAGCAAGGTGAAACTTATTAAACAGTTTCAGCTTGATGATCTCTATTTGAACAGTGAGGTAAAATATCTAGCTGACAAGAATTTGCTAGTATGAAAGCAATGTGAAGGTGACAGAAATGTTTGAGATTTTTCGGTTGTGGAAATACCTAGTTAAGTGGTCAGGGAAAATGTCTTGAAATCTCTAACAGGAAAACAAAATGCCTGATAATGGAATAAGAAGGGAAAAATAGTAATTCTGTTTTCTTTGTATTTCTTTTCCAATTAAATTACTTCTAACTCTAGGATATGAATAAACTAGTAGGATAAATAGGAAACTACATTTGTACCACTGATTCTCACTTTTCTTCATGTTTTATCCTCAGGCGATTTGAAATCACCTCTTCTGTCCAAGTCAATGAATGGACTAAATGAATCTGTTGTTCCTGAGTTTATGTTGTTGGGACTCGCTAGTTCTTGGGAAACTAAAGTTTTTCTCATGTTGATATTTTCCTTGATTTATTTGGGGATCATCCTGGGAAATCTTTTCATTTTCTTTTTGGTAATTTTTGATTCTCATTTACATTCTCCTATGTACTTCCTGCTGGCCAACCTATCCCTCATTGATGTGGGGCTTTCCTCTACCACAGTTCCAAAGATGATTACAGACCTTCTAAATGAGTATAAGATAATTTCTTTCCAAAGTTGTATGACACAGATATGCTTCATCCACATCATGGGAGGAGTGGAGATGGTGTTACTCATCGCCATGGCATTTGACAGGTACACAGCAATCTGTAAGCCTCTTCGCTACCTGAACATCATGAACCCTAAAATATGTGTTTCATTTGTAATTGCTGGCTGGGTCATTGGGGTGATCCATGCTATGTCCCAGTTTGCTTTCATTATAAACTTGCCCTTTTGCGGTCCTAATAAAGTAGACAGCTTTTACTGTGACTTTCCCAGGATCAT